GCACAGCCTGTTATTGTGCTTGTGGTGTTTTGAAAGAAAAGGGGTAAGAGGGACTAGAGTTAAATTCCTTTGTATATACATGGTTAGGCTAGCTCCATAAAATACAGTTATATGAACTGGGTTGTAATTTTATTTCAATAACGAGGTTTCCTAGGTTATGTTTACGTTTCCTTTCGGTATTGCCCGCAGTATTTTAATCGTCAATGTTTCTGTTAAGCGATTATAGAATGCATTTCCTGTTGTCTTTAAACAACCCACTGGAAATTTTTGTGGTCTGTACATGCCACATGGTGGAAACTGCTATGGAATGAAGAAGTTATAAGCTTGATCATGCCTCGTTATGCGTGAGTTCATTGTCTATCTTGAATGAATGTTAGTGCTTTAAACCGTTTCACGGTAGGGTGGGACAGTATCCTTCTTTTTCTAAAAATGCCACTGCAGTTTCTTCCTAGGTTGACGCAACTTATTTTCCTGCTGAATTGTTCACAGCTAAATAGAACAAAGTGATAATTGTTCAGGACACCACAATCTTTTACATATTTTGAGGTAACAGAGGATACAAGCTGTGCCACGAAGGATCTTAGGTTACTTAATCTTGACAGAAAATTCAACGATACATCCTAGTCCCCACAAAATTACAGCCATAGTAAACCAACACATCTCACCTTCCAAGTGAAAACCAATCCTTGAAATGCTGAAGAGAAGAAAACCATTAAGAAGCTGAACTGCCATGTACGGTAGGAAGGACATGAAAAGCAATAGCTAAAGATGGTGACAAGTAGTGTTTAGTTGATTATGATTCAGCTGCAATTTCTACAGCAGTGATGCTGAAAACAGAATTTTTCTCACGTTCATTCTCAAGCTGACTGTAGTTTCCCTTCTCCTTGAAAAGTTGGATAAGGTGATGCTTGCAGTAGAGTTTTCCCTCATGTGCAATGTAGTTAGATGGGCTTATTGTACAACCTCCATGGGTACACTTAAAACAGCTCCTGTGGTATGGAGTCCCATTCACCGTAACCTGTAAGAATGTCAAAGACCACTCTTCAGAAAATGCTAGTCATTTTTAAGAGGATGGTCCTCTGATTCTATGACCGAAGTCTCCGGCTCTTACCTTCTCGATCGGATAGACAGTCTTGTCGCAGCCTACACATTTTTCTCTGGTGCCAGCAAACAAATTCGAAACTTTGCTGGCGTTCTATGAGACACATCAAGTTCAGGGTACTTAATTAATGGATAGCAATTGAATAAAATAAATAGCATGAAACAACATACTTTCATTTCCAATCTTGAGATTACCTCATTATCAATAGGTTTTTCTGGTTTCACAATCTTCGGCGTTCCTGACAGAAATTATTTATAGAAAGTGACAGGGCAAATTGAATTTAAGTTAGAATATTTTAACTAGCTATTGCTGATATTAAGAAGATTTGAAGCGTGTAAATTTTGATAATGGCTTGATTGTGCTTTTACCTTCAAAACTCTTGTCTAGACTACCAGTTCTCTTGAAGAGTTGGTCATAGTGAGGTCTGCAGTACAGAACCCCTTCAAAAGAACAGTAGTTGCTTAGCTGCAAGACATAAAACAGAATGTCAACGAGTGCTCATCAAGAAATTTAATGAGTAATTAATTGGCTTTGAGGACCAGCAATTCAACATGCCTTTTCCATGACAACAGAAATTGGAAAACATTTTCAAAAGAAACAAGAAAATGGAAGATATTCTCAGAAATCCAAACTTAGATCTAGCCAGAAAAGATGTTGCTAGCTGCATGTATCACATAAAAAAAAAAAGTTTTAACAAGCATTGAAATCTTGAGAATTTGGAACTAGATTGATACAAAGAAGAGTATTGTTGGATCTGATCAGAAGGAAACTTGATGGAAAAGGTAGTTTTGGAAAACAATATGAAAAAGACAATTCTGAAAAGAAGAATGTTTTCCTGAGACATCACAGTTCAAAGAAGATGCATAAAACATGGTCAAAAACAAAATGATCATGAAGATTAAACATGAAAAAAGATTTTAAGTTACCTTGAGGGTACCCCTGCAATGGTGGCATCTAAAGCAGGCCTTATGAAAAACCCTGTTATCAGCAGTTAACTTATCGACAAGATACACAGTCTTGTCACAAGCCATACATTTTTGTTGAGTTCCTGCAAAGGCTGCCATATCCTTGTTCTCCCTTGAAGAAGAAGAAGAAGAGCAAAATGGGGAGCTAGAAACCTAAACACTTGTGTACCAGTTGTGATATTTCTCGTCCGTTTTCTGTCTTTGGCTCGATTATTATAGCGTGGACAAGGAAGCGTAGCTGATGATTTCGAAGGAGATTAAAAGCAATCAAAGGGTTGCAGTGAATTGCGGGTGACATGAAAGCAAATTTGTACATGATTGATAGGAATGGTCTGGCCACTTAGCTATCATTTGTCCGATTTCTAAGCAATTTCTTATCAGATGTAATCATTCTATCTTCCTTCTTTACTCTTGGGAGGTCCAGTTCTAGCTTTTAGCTCCAAGATTTATTAAAGATCTCATCTCATGTATTTTAGTTTTAGAAAGAATCCTCATGTTTTGATTTTGATTGCTACATCTAGTTTGTGTTTGGTTAACGCGAATAGAAACGAGAGAAATGTGTTTGAATTCATATTTTAAGATGAATTTCTATCCTTTTAAAACACGAGACGAGTGGAATATGTTGCTTTTATTTCCGGCATCTCAAGATAGCAATAGGAATCCTAGAAATTACAACATACATGATAAATAACAACAGGATGGTAGAAGTTGGTTAATGAGGCAATTTAATGTCGGAGAAAAAGAAGAAGCTATTATTCGATATAAAGATGATTTACTAGGTAGACCGAAACAGAACAGGATGAGTTAATCCTTTCACAAAGGTGGTGGGTCTAAAACTAGAATATCATCATGAAGCTGGTAGCTGGGCGCCTTCTTACTTTCTTCTTCGTTTTCATATTTTAAGGATTGTTTGATTACTTTTTCCATGAGTTATAATTAGTGATTCAGTAGATGGATAATATTTTTAATATTAGGCATCAATCGAAGTTTTTTTTGATGATGCTGCATATAACTAGTGACCACTGAGCACCTGGATTCATGTAAAATTGTCTGCGGCCACCCTCCAGCATAATTAATGATAAGACTTTTCAATAAAATCTGAGCATTGTTGGAAAACGTAGTATATCATCTAGTGCACTCTCAGGTCATCTGTTTACATCTTCACGTCTGCATTTATATATTATAATATGGCCAAACGACATCTTTATGTCAGCGGGAGGCATTTTACCTGGAGGTGCTTTTCTATAGTTGAGTTCAGTTGTGACATGACACCTTGTTTGGATGTCCTGTCGCTTGGAATGTTCTTAAATCAAAAAAATACTTGATTCTTCTCAGACAACAGTGGGCGTTTGGCCTTTTGGTATGATTCTCGCTTTGGGTGCGAGAGGTCTCGAGTTCGATTCTCGGAACGCCCCCATTAAATGAGATCCATCTCGGTTAACGAAGAAGATACAATAATTGACTCTGGCATTTTTTTTTTCTAATTTTTTTTATACGAATAGATTAATGATAATTAAGCCATGCAAAAACGTAAGGCGGGGTATTAATTGCCATGTGTAGCATGAAAGCGCACAACCAATTTTCTGCTCCACTTCAAGAGGGAATAGCGGCAAAAAATTATGGCAGCCAAGTTGATAAAAACATTCATGATAAATACTACGCATTGGGATTTTGGTCTAGAAGTATAATTCTTGCTTTGCCTGCGAGCTAAGATTACAGTGGAATATTTTAGCCACCGAAAGCTGACGCTAAACTAACATGGAAATATCGCATGGTCCTGCTATCTTGTTTTCGCAACAAAACTCTTCCCAGTGAATTGATGAGTATACATCTTCACAGGGTGCTGCAATCAGGACGACCAAGTTAGGATCTTATCTGTGTCCAGTCTCATTCATCTGGTAAAATAAGAGCCGTTTAGTTGTGGCATTAGCACAAAGAACAACCACATTAGAGAACGAAAACACTGCAGTGGATCATGGTAAATGTATATGTTACCCATGTTATCAAGGTTTCTCTTGAATACCTCTCTAGGTGAGGATGGCTTACTTAAGGCCCGACTCCTGGTTTTGATGTCCAGAAATTAGTTCGAAGATACCCACATTAAAAGATCAAAAAAGAAAAAAAAAACACCACCACAAAAACTCAACGTCCGACGTGCAGGCTTTGCATCCCTCGCTAGCATCAACAAAAACTCTAATCAATGAGAGACTCCATTCAACTTCATATAGTAGCATATCATAGTGAAGCCTTAATCTAAGCAAGCAAAAGAATAGTTAGAAGACAAATGAAAAACATATACAGAGGGTGCGAGAGTTCCCGAGTTCAATTCTTGGAATGCCCCAAAACTCAGAAAATTGGCATTTGATCTGGTGGTATGATCCTGGCTTTTGATGTAAGAGTTCCTGAGTTACATTCTTTTAATGCCCCCAGTTTAATACATATTTTTAAATCACCAACCAACATATTATTTTTCAGGTTTATTTTATAATAATTGCCAATTATTACCTAGCTCCAACTTGTAGCTGCCCTTGTTTTATTACAATCAGCACATGATAAATATCACTAGCTGGGCATTTGGTCTAGTGGTATCATTCTCGCTTTGGGTGCGAGAGGTCCCGGGTAACATATGATTTTCTTCATCATTCTATAGAATGCATATGATTTTCCATCTTCTATAATAACATTTTTAACGTAACATGCTGAGTAGAATATCCAGCCAGGGGTCAAACGAAGAAAACTACGATATAACATTTTTATATTCAGACATATTAGCTATGCCAAATTGAAAAATAGATTAGCAGATGCTTATACCAAGTTGGACAGGCTAGAAAGATTCCTGTATCAAGCATGATAAATTAAATAATGTATCCATTATTATTAACACAAGTAGACATAAGTACCAATTAATCAAATGTAATAAATAACTTTGGATGTCATTTGTGTTGGGTATGCGACCAAAGTCCAAACCTACAAAGAAAGTTAGGCCTTCTAAAAATAAGCAAACAAACCTGAGCCTTATCCGCAAGCTGAACGACGAGGCGACCAACAGGAAGCGGAGACTCGTAATTGAAACTGTAATTAATGCATTCAGTTCGCATGTACCGAGACAAAACACGGCCGTCAGCGGTGAGTCCAGCGATGGCGACACCGATATGGTCATCGACCTTAAAAATCTTCTTCTGGTGAGAGGAGAGTTCGGAGTTGGCTTTGTTAACGCATGCAAGAACCACGTGAGTCTTAGATCGGAGTCCAATCGCCGCTGATCCTTGCTTCACTGCCTCCATCGCGTACTCTACCTGGAACAATCGACCCGCAGGACTCCATGTGGTAACGTCCGTGTCGTATTGATTCCTGAACATTTTTTCAAGCTTTCACTCTCTTATCTTCGATTTGATGTGATGATGTCTAGTTTTCTTGGTGTGAGAGTATATAGGAGGGTTCTTTTTTCTTTCGGACAAGTCAGCAAGCAATGAGTTGAGGGTGAGCTGAGTCGATGAATCGAGGCAGGTTTCTTGCCGCGTTCTGATGAGCTCGAGGTTTTGACCCTGAAACGAAAAGGTGGATATCTGGAATTGGAGGCCCAGTATGAGTCCAGTGTGAGTATAAGAACGACTGGGCTATATGGAAAATGGGCCGATGGGGCTGGCCAGATCCGCAACCAGCTTATTTCTTCAATCCAAGATGAATTGCCTGGGCCCTAAATCCCATAAGAGATGATAAATATTTCACCTCTAAATTTAATGGGATGAATTCCATCGTGATGAAATCGAATCAGATCAATATAATGAATAAAAATATTGTTGGGTATGCGACCAAAGTCCCACATTGGTTAGAAATGGGGAGGATCAAGGGTATATAAGGATGAACAAATATCTTCATTAGTATGAGGCCTTTTGGGTATAACCCAAGAGCAAATCCATGAGAGCTTAGGCCCAAAGTGGACAATATCGTATCAATGTGGAGATAAGTGGTGTCCATAATCCTTACAATTTGCATGCAAGTCGCTTTAAAAACTGCAAGAATAAAAGAGACCAGAAGCTGATGACCCGCTGTATAGAATTCACTTTAAATAGCAGGGCCTTCATGGATAAAATATTTGAGAAACAGGCAAACTTCAGCAACTAGGGTGCGAGAGGTCCCGAGTTAAATTCTCGGAATGCCCCTTTTGGCTCACTAAAATCTGCCAATCAATATGCATTTTTTTTTTATTCCTTAGCAGACGACAATTTGAAATATTTCAGCAAAGGAAACTAACCTCAACCCACTGTGGTCAGCTGCAAATCCTGGTATATGTTTTCTGACAAGCACAAGCCTATTCCCAATGAATTATGAGTGAATATATGACTACGGTGCTCAAATCAAGATAAGCAAGCAAGGAAAATACCTGTGTCTAGCCTCGTTCATCAAGAAAAGAAGAGCCATTTACTTACCCTGCTAGGAAGTTTTAATATTAAGAATAACCTACCAAAGACAACCAAATTGGGGAAGAAAAGCACCCCAACACCAACACCCTAAAATGCACACACATACATGCATGTGCATTCATTTTTTACAGCTTAACACAAAAGAAAGTTCTGCCTTTTCTTAGCATGGCATTTTCTGATCACCTTTCCACCAAACTCGCCAGTCATCTCATCCCTACCCCAAATTAAATTATGCTGCTAAGCATCCTAGATTCCTAGTATTAGAAAAACTCATAAAGCATAAACTATCTAATTGAAACTTCATTCCATTCGTACAGACTCAACACAAGCCGTGTAGCATCAGATTTCAAATGGAATGTACCTTGTGTAAGACTCAATGATAGAGTTACCATCTGTATACTTGAAAAAAGAACCTGCAAACAGTAAGCTACATGGTTTGCAAAGTCCGATTGATCATTGCATCATCTGATGATTGCCTTTGGAATGCATAATGAGCATGGCCAACTAGATGGTTTCCCCCTTAATCTAATTATATCATCACGAAATCCTTCTGCAAGATTCTGCTACATATAGATTTCAGACGCAGAGTTTACCAAGATGTTGAAATATTTGCACGCGAGGACCTCAAAATGTTATGAAGTCTGAATATAGTGAAGCCATGCCAACATCCTTTGGGTAAAAATATAATGCGTCCTTTCTGAGAAACCAGCGCAGGCACAAGGAAATGGAGAAGACTCGAAGACTCAAAAGTTGGAGTGAATTTGGGTCATCTGAGATTCTAAGGCAGTCAATATATTTATCATTAATGAAATCAACATAGATGGACACTTATATATTAATCCTAGCCTTTGATTGTTCCAATTAGGAGTAAAGACAAGAAAAAGGTCTGGTCTAAAGAAGCCAACACAACATAAAATCTAAGAGGTTGAGAATGTGGCTTGAAGTGATTACATAAATACAGATCTCAACAAACATAAATGCATTTTTAAGTTTTTCACCCCATCCTAACTAAAAACTCACCAAAGCACAACAGGAAATGTTTAAAGATTCAACCAATATAATGTTTCTAATTGACCCTCAAGTAAAAGGAGCTGGAGATAAAAGATGTTAATTAGAATTTACATATAGACATCAAGTGGGCATTTGGTCTAGTGGTATGATTCTTGCTTTGGGTGCAAGAGGTCCCGAGTTCGATTCTCGGAATGCCCCAAATCTGCCATTTTTATCAATTTGATCGTTTCCAGATGACAACCACAATTTTAATATTCTGAGCGAAATATCCACCCAGAAAGATGCGATATAAGATTCTGATATATTCCAAAATATTAATTTCTGACAAGATTCCATGGCAAATAATTTTTTTTTTTTAAAGTAAACACTAGAGATTGAAAACAAGGTGGAGAACAAACTAAAGAGATTCCTGCATCAAGCATTCTAAATTCAAACATTCAGTACTATTACCCTCTGTATACACAAGTGCCAATTGATCCAAAGAGTGAAAAATAAAGTTATTCACTGTTTACCAGGGAAATGACATAATAAACTTCATTAAAATCCATGAGACCAACACAAGAAAAGAATTCACTTCAAATTTATCAGAAACTTAATGCAAAGAAAATTAGAAAGTAAACCTCAGCAATCGGGCATTTGGTCCAGTGTTATGATTCTCGTTTAGGTGCGAGAGGTCCCAAGTTCAATTCTCGGAATTGCTCCTTCACATGTATAAGGTTCTGATATCTTGAATGTGGCATCTTGTGATCAGCTTTCCACCACACTCGCCATTCATCCCTTCCCCGCCTATTTTTTGCTATACTTTCAAGCTATGCTGCATCCTCACATCATAACTTCTCATGAATGGCGTACTACAGCAAGAAACTTCATTGATAAGTACTCAACTCTTATCACTGAACATAATTATGACATATTGCCTAACATTAAACTTCATTCATAGAATCAACTCCAGTCAATCAGCACAACTAAGCCTAATTTAACTGTAGACTAAAACAAAAATAATTCCCAGTTCTGTGCCTTCTAGAGTCCTGACTTGGTAAATATGTAATATTTTCAGACAAGGATCTCAAAATATTATGACAATGAATATCACATTTTAGTTGATTTGCATTATAATTGAAAAATATTCCAGAATAGAGATCATATTGTAACTAACATTTTGACAGAGAATGCAGCAAGAGGTGCTGAAGCAAAGAAGATAAATTGTGAAGCACACATCCTCTGCAGGAATATTATCTTCCCCCAGAGCAACTAAACAGAAATATATTTCAAATACTCAAATTTGGTGCCTACTAATGTCATTTGTGGCATTTTATTCATTTGTCACAATGAAAATAAACATATACATGTGTGTCTGTGCATTTATACACACATATTGACATATAAACATCCCTGCTTTTGTCTCTAGCAATTGGGGAAAAGAAAAGGAATCCACTCTAGAGCATTTCTATTCAGTTTTTTGCATTCCATCCACTAGAGGCATGGAAATAAGAACTGCCAAAAGGCCTGACAATAGAAAATGTTTGATCCACTGGAGTGGCTACAACTCACTTTAAAATTATCAGGAGCAATAGGAGAAGACATTAATTAACATTTAAATAAAATACACATCAAGAAACGGGCATTTGGTCTAGTGGTATGATTCTCGCTTTGGGTGCGAGAGGTCCCGAGTTCGATTCTCGGAATGCCCCAAAACTTTTTCAGTCAGATTTGAAGGATTCAGTTTCTTATAATTTTTTATTTCCATATTTTTATTATTTATTTTTTGGGGGTAGGTTTCTCATATTATTGCTAAAAAAATTGGACCTAGCCCTATGATCTAGTCAAAGTCAACTTCAATACAACATGACACTGTCAGAATACACATACAATATGAGGGCCTCTCAGATAAGATCCTACATCATGGAAATTGATAAGCAAATAATAGTTGGTTGTGAAATCAAGACAAGAAATCTAGAAATGTGCTTGTGTCATAAGCAATCAAACAAAACCATGTATGGTATACCTCAACTCTGCCAAATGTATGAAAACATTTTGAGAGCAAGTTCTAGTACTCAACCAACAGGTAAAGAGCCAAACTTGGACAATAGAAACATGCAATTGTTTGGACATTCTTTACATAGCAGTGATGTGAATTTGTCTACCGTATTGAGAAGAACACCTCATCAGAATATGACTGGTCTATTTCTTCTTAGAACCTTTTAATAACACCAGAAAAGAACATCTGGTCAAGGACTGCAGCAGGCAACACCAAATAAAGGAGATAAAATTTTGAAGGATATAAGCTGCAAAGTTAAATCAGATAAATCAAAAGGGAAATTAAATTCTTACAGCAGGTAAGATTTGACTAGAAAGAGCCAAAAGGCACCATTGAACTAGTATATTAATTGACCACCGCTCAACTCAAAACTCTCACTTCAGCCGGAATCTTTCCTAAGAACATTTTTTATCAATAGATTGAGAAGAATAAGCAGCATGCTTCATTTTATGGGTGGACAGAACAACATTAAAACCTGAAAACAGATTGCCATCTAGAGTCCAATCTTCACTCCGGGTTCCCAACTGCAAGCGCAATAAAGAACCAGTAGAACTAAACAAAATATCAGTGGTTCTTTTCCCATTTGCACCATAGAAACTTTGATCCTTTGGAGAGAAATGTACTATTTATTAACTAAAATAAAGGCACTAGACTTGAAACTTATTTACTAAAAGAAAGGCATTAGACTTGAAACTAAAATGATTACTCTTTCCACTCTTTTTGCTAGAAAGGAGGTCATAAGACCAATAAGAAGACTGTCACACCTCAAAGTGTCATGGCTAATTGACCTTCCAGCGGAAAACTATGCTGTATACCTTCAACTTACGGTTATAGAAGCATTAAGACAGATTGCCATGATAAACACCACCAGCTGGGCATTTGGTCTAGTGGTATGATTCTCGCTTTGGGTGCGAGAGGTCCCGAGTTCGATTCTCGGAATGCCCCATTTTTCACTCTAGCCATAATGTTTGGTTTTCTCTCTTCTACATGACAGCTTTAGCGTGTAGAGCAGAATTGTCAGCCTAAGGTCAAACTGAAAAACTATGATATTGAAATTTTGATATTCAGATATGTTAGTCTTTCAACAAGATTCTGTGCCACGGTATTGGAAATAAATAAGCCAGCAGAGTTAACAAGGAGGGAAAGTTACAAATATGCCTGCATCAAGCGTGATGAACTAATTGTTTACTATCTCTAAACAAGTTTCAACTTATTGATGGCCTTGTGGATTCACGAATTTAATGATTCATGTAAATTTTAGGTTCCCAGAAAGTTGAAAATTCATATAGTTTTAGTTCTCTTGCAGTTCCAAACATTTAAGCCAAGAAACTAAAGTCAACTCTAACAGTAAAACATACTACATTAAAGAAAATTCAGATACGTTTCTTTTTTGGTAAGATTAATTACCAATAAGCTGATCAATAAATAAGCAGACTTCGCTGAAATCAAGGTATGAAAGAAAGGCTCACACCTGTCTCTGGCTTCAGCCGTTGGAAAAAGTCATTTACCTGAACCTGCCAAATAGTGTACGCATCAATTTGATGCAACAGATTCAGTATCTCAATTGACATGACAAAAATAAGAGAACAGAAACATACCCAAAGCTAATTTTAATGCAAGAGCTGATGCTAGAGCATGAGAAAGATTTTAAAAGTCAACTTGTATAGCAACAAATCAAAAGGTTCGGTCTGTTCGGCATAGCATTGTAGTGATCAGCTTTCTGCCAAATGTACAGTCAGCTCAGTCCTGCCACGTATCTAAAATGGTAGGATATATAATGTCAGAGCAGCTCATAATCGATATTCATGCCTTCAACACATTTATCAACATAAGCCTTCCTGTTTCTGCAACATTTTACTCAATGCAGTAGAGCCTGTCAATGTTCAGAAGGAAAAGAAAATTTTATGAAGAACCTTCAGTGATACAAATCATGGTTAAGAAACTCAGGAATACATCTGATTAGGTTGGTGAATATGAAAACATTTAGTTAGACAATTCAAAGTGAATGAGACAAATTCTCAGGGTGTAAAGCAACCAAATCCAGCATAGAATGGCCATTTTCCTGTTTCAGAAATTCAATGACCATTTAGGTTTTGCTTTCCCAGATCAAAAAGGGCATTTGGTCTCGTGGTATGATTCTCACTTTGGGTGCGAGAGGTCCCGAGTATGATTCTCAGGATGCCCTGTTAGAATATTGCTATTCATGAGAGATTGCAATCAGTTCTTTTTTTTCTTTTTTTGCCCAAACTTTATAGAATATTTAGAGAATCACAGAGAATTAAACCCCAACTCAACCCACAAGGAATAAATAAATGGAGTTGACTTCTGAGATGAGAATGCAAGATGGAACCGAAGACATCATGTTACAGCAGAATATTCATGGTCCAGTCACAACATCATGTTAGAAAAGAAGCTCCACAGCAAACAGTTTGATGGGTAAATGATTGCAGAAAAATAACAACACTGACAAATATCTGATTTACTATACGTCGCCAAAAAGTGACTAGGAATGGACTGCACAGATAACAAATATGTACTGAATACTACCTTGAAACAACAAGATTTAAGTTTAAGCTTCGTAAATGAAAATATTCTGCAGCCTGATTAGGTGCAAGAGGCCCTCAATTTTGTCCACCCTTGCTGCCAAAGCACAGACAGTGGTGAAGTATATGGAATTCACGAAGCATGCCCGTAAACTTAATAGTTTTACTGGCCCTAATTGGATGTTCTATTACAAAGTAATGCTCGGGTACGATTTGCAACACAGTCATCAGTCATAAAGTAAGACAAATCACAATATCCAGTGCATGAAATATAAAACAAAACAACAACTATACGATCTCCATTGCATACAGCCACAACATGAGGCAAAAAAAAAAAAACAAAACACGGAAATAAAGGGTACAAGAATATGCAACCAGACATCTAGTCCAATATTATAACTCTTGAAATCCAACAAAACAGGATTATATTAATGGCTTATACAGAATAGAATCTCACACCAAATAAAAGGAAAAGCCTAACAAAACTAAAAAAAAGAGTGCTGCAACGACACTTGGCAAAAGCTGCAACCCAGAAGTTTTCACAAAACAAAACAGCCACCAACACATAAAATCCACATAACTAACAAAAATAACCAGAACCCACAAATTATCACTACAAGTTTTCACTTCTAATACCTTTAATTTGTCAACTCAATTATACTCTACATTCGGGAAGAGAGTAGATGGTTAGTGATTACAATACAGGCACACATAGCCCGAAAACGTTCCACGGGGGATGTCTCTGCTGATGCTCCATTCGAGTGCCAGGAAAACAGTGGGAAAGGAAGAGAAAATGAAGACAGGATTTTCGAAGTGGTTTTCCCTACACTTTTCTCAGTTTTCTAGGCAAACAAACAGACCATGATAAGTGTGCATTTGACTGAGGTCAAAACTCGAAAAAGCCAAAAGATAAGACAGTTGTTGGTTTGTAATTTGGTTGGTTGGTTTTATTACGGGAAACGACATCAAGTCCTCAGGTGTTTTTCATGCATTTATGTCTGCTTCAGATTTTACAGTTCAAGGTTATGTAATTGTACTTGGATTATTATTTAATCAGGGTTGTCGCCTTAATAGCAGTGGCCCCCAGACATCAACGCCTATGCTGAGCTACTTTAATATAGGTTTCTAAAGCAAACTAGGAGCGTGGGGACGGAGATTAGATGACTTGTATTTTAAAATAATTTTTATTTAAAAATATATTTAAATACTTTTTATTTTTAATATATTAAAATAATTTAAAAATATATGTATCTATATCATCACAGAACTCACGAACTAGAGCATAGTTGAAGCAAATTTTAATTTTTTTAAAAAATAATTTTTTAATGTTTTTTTTAAAATAATTTTTTAAAAATAATTTTTTAAATTTTTTTATGTTTGTTTATTATAAAAAAATTAATCAATAAAAAATATTTTTTAGTTAAAAAAGATTTGGTTGAGTTTTCAAAAAAAAAATTTCTTTTTATTCTGGACAGAAAATATTTTGCTAAAATAGTAAAAAAATTAAAAATATCATATTATTCGTTAATTATATTAAATTTATTCCTCAAACTTTTTATTATTATATATTTTATTTTGATTTTTTTTCAATTTTATTCATTAAAATTTAATTTAATTTAATTTGTATATTATCTTTAGTCATTATTTTTATGATTTTTAATTATCTTTTTCTTATTATTTTTTTAATTAAAATTTTTTATTTATTAAATTTAATCTGATTGTTACTTATTTTATTTTAAATAATTTATGAAATTATTATTATTATTTTAGTTTCATCATCTTTTAATTTTTTTATTTATTAGATTTAATCTCCATTATTTTTATTGTTATTTATTTTATTTGTAAATTTTTTTTTTATTATTTTAATAAATTTAAAAAAATATTAATAAATTATTTTTTAATTTATTTTTCATAACATAACCAAATACTAAAAATTATTTTTAAATTTTTTTATAATATTATCAAATATTAAAAAATAATTTATTTTTAAAGAATTGATTTTTAAAAAAACAACTTAAAAAAAAAAACCACCTTTTCAACAACAAACAACAGAGGTTAGTGTTCTTTAATTTTCTCCCTTCTTTTTAGATAGGATCCATGTGTCCACCTGAGAGACTTGTAATTTTCTAGTCTCTTGCGGTCCCACTGGCTAACTAAAATGTTATTTCTTTCACACCAGGGCATAGATTTGTTATTTGTGCCACGCTTTTTACAACGATACCTTCAACTGGAACTAGGGCATAGGTGTTAGAGATTGGTCCACAACCAAAAAATGGTCTAGACCACAGGTGTACCATGCATGCACAGCAACTATTCCACAGGAACGTAACCTTCAGCTTGAGGCTTAATTCTACCGAGTACCAGCCTCTCAAAGAAGTACAAAACAGCAAATACAGGCAAAAACCATTATTCATTCAAAATCACCGTGTCGCAAGTTTGCATTAGGAAATCACACTAATTAATTAATCTTTGTTCATAAAAATCAAACCAATACGCAACCAAACATTACTAGTGTGTCAATCACACTTGGACGTGAACTCAAATGATACATACATTAACTAGAGCCCACATGAGAAAATAAAAGACAATGGTCAGACATCGATAACCCAGTTAGACACAGCTGACGAACTTTAACTAGCAACTCAAAATCGTGGCTGCGAAAGCTGAAAAGTACAGGAACTGGTGCTCAATTCTTTGATTTTGAATGTTTTACAAGCCAGTCAATAACTGTATCGATGTTGGTTGAGTTCTTGCATGAGATCATGTAGCAGCATTCTTCTCTGTCGGTGATGGACTTAAGCCCCCTGCACAGAATAACATAATTCTTAGCATAAAATGCTCTGAAACCTGATAATACAAAATTGTTTTACAGCCTCCTGCATGCATCTTAAGATATCTAGTGAACTTACATTTGTTCCATAAAATCTTCCTTAGACAAGGATCCTGGTTTGTCAATCTTATTTCCCAGTACTAACAAAGGGATACCACTCAGTGACGGTTTACTCAAAAGATCATGAAGCTCACTTTTCGAGACAGATAAATTATCATAATCAGCAGCATCCACGACATATCTGCATGAAAAACCAAAGAAAAACAAATAATATATAATTCATTAAGCTGGTTTACCAGACAGTGGATAGTAAAAGAAATCTTAATCCATAAACAAATTTTTGCTGCGTGCGACAACATGAAGAGTCACTTATTTAACTAGTTTCAGCACCCTCATGACAAAAATGGTACATTGTTCTCCTCATGCTTAGCTTTGAAATACAAAGGTGCATATGCAACAGAGAGTGGGATAAACATAAACCATAATGCATATGCAACAGAGAGTGCAAATGCAACTCTTCTATTAAGGGCACTGCATAAATAGGATCTTCTACATCCAAAGTCTCTTGCAATGACACTATAAAAGCACTTCAACTGAAATCACAGAAAAACATCCCCAGCAATTACTATGAGAGATTAATATCCCTAAAAGACTGGCTAACACATGGTTTTTTCACAAAGAGGGAAAAAAAGAATAAAACAAAAGACAAAACATCATCTGTAATTATTAATAAGCAATGACCATGTTTAAAACTAATATAATGAGAGTCTTCCAAGTTCAAAGACAGTGTTATGAGAATATTAAGCAGTGTGAGACATACACAATGGCCGAAACTGCTCGACAATATCTCTCCCACATACTGCGGAATCGTGGTTGACCTCCAAGATCCCACAACTTTATTGTGACATTGCCTTTTGTAACCTTCCTCATATTAAATCCAACCTGATGATGAAAGAGGTGATTTGAATGTCAATAGGATTAATGTGATAGAGATGTAAAAAGAATTACAGGCAGAATGAAAACTTCTTAGGCAAACTTTTCTGCATAATGGAATAACAATTTGTGAGATAATGGCGTACCGTTGGGATCATGTCTTCGCTATATCCACCAGTCTAGAATCACCAGCCAGAAACAAAAATACAGCCATCAGCATCCAAACCAAAGGAGGAGAGAAACATATAAAATATAGATCATGCCTCTCACAAGAACTCTTACTTACCGCAATAACATTTACAAGAGAAGTCTTCCCAGCATTCTGAAGTCCTATTAGAGACAGCTCCATTTCTTGCTTGAAAAAGAGACTACAACCATTAAATAAAAATAATTAGAAAGAAAGATTCAATTATGTGTAAAAGTCTTTACAGGTTAGATAGCAAAAGAAAAGATGAACAGCATGGATGACTGATCATTTCAACCCAAACAGGCTCACAATTTAAAATGAGAAGCTCCCAATCCAAGAGTGAAAATTCGTGTCAACCATCTCAATAGTGCAGACAAGGACACTCAAATACAAACAAACAGTCTACCCTAATGCATAGGCTTCCCAGAAGCTAACTTTTCACACATAGATATCTGCAAAGCCCATCCAAAAAGAATAAGGAGTGAAGAGGCCAGTGGTAACAAGGTTTAATGATCTCACAGAATATGTTTTTCACAGCAAAGGCTACAAAATAAATGACTTTCAAAAGGCAGGGTACACTACTTGAGAATCAAAATCTCTTTGATTATTTTAAAAACCAGCAAACTGTTCAATACAAATTGAACCTGTTCCACTCGTTGCGGAAAGTTGAAAGAAGAACAAACAAGACTCAAACGTAGAGACAAAAACAGAGTTGAACCAACAAGACATTGTATGATAGAGCTGCCGGCGTACTACCGAGCACCGTGTTTCCCTTTTTCACACTGCTTATGAAACATCATGTATAGAATTCAGTGCAACCAAAGCATTACAGCTTCAAATTGTCAAATAAATTTGAAGGAAAACGTTGGCTGATACAGCCATGCGCTTCCATCAAAAAGTGATGCTGCTCCAGTTCAAAAATTCACGGTATCAAGTTCACGGAGCTTTAAAGAGGTTAAACTGACGAATTCCATGCTCGAAATAACCAATTAAAACTAATTCCATGCTTTGAAAATCAAGTATTACATCTAAAGCATCCTATGATTCATATAACCAAACAGCCATTGAACAGTCAACCAAATAATATCACCTACCAATAAACTCTTAAAACAAATTCCACGTGCTCCCTTCAAATACCTTAACCAAGAATTTCAAATTTCACATAAATTCCCTATTAGATTCCCAGTTAAGTTATATAAAACAATAATCTGAGCTTTTTCATTAATGGGTTAATTTGACACTAAAACTATCAACTAAAATCAAAACTCAAATAGCAATTTAAACCAATTTCAGCCCTAAATCTCCAATTATCAATCTTTATAACTAAACCAAGCAACAAAAGAAAAGAAAAGTCCCAAACTTTCTCGACATCCAAACAGAAACACAGGGATGAAAAGGTTACCTTCGTATCCAATTGAGAAAAGCTTCCCATAATCCCATCTTTTTCAGTCAAGAATTTGAAAAATTAGGGTTTGGAATTGAAGCTGGAAAAGGAAGGGACAAAAAAATAAGGATTCGTAATTGGTTGATACAAAGACAAAATAAAGGGACGGGTGGTATGCTTTAGCTGTTTTTTTCTTTCTTTAATTGTTATTTATTTTTCCTTTCAATGATTGAAATCCAATTCCCTCCCTATTTCTTTTAAAAATCGAAACGCCAGATGATAACAATCTTTCCACGCGCTATGAGACAGAGTGGTGGATCTCGACCAATTAAGTTGTGTTTGTACGGTGTGAGGATCTAAATGGTGAAGTATATGCACGCGCTTGAGGTGAAATGGAGAGAGACGGTCTGCCATGTATTCATACCGAATACGTTTACGTAGTGGAGGAGCGCAAAGGATTTTGCTTTTTATCCACGCGATATGAAAGAGATTGGTTTGGACCAATCATGGAGGTTGGTGGCCAATGAGCGAGTGACAGTCACTTCTTGGTTTCAATAAAAAAAGATCACATGTTCAATTTGAAAATAATTATATCTCGCGGTTAAATTCAATTATCTCTATTTTTTAATACTATCAGATAACCATGGATAAATTGATAGGACTGGCAGTGTATCTATCTTAATATGAATCCATGTATAATTAAACAAATCTAGTATATATTTTTTATAACACAGGTTGAATCAATTAACAATAATTAAAAGAGTTTACGTTGTTGATTATGCATCACCTCATAAAATATTATTTATTATAAAAAATAATTTTTTTAATCTTGTTTCTTTTTGATATTTTATTCTACACAGGTTGAACCTCATAAAATATTATTTATTATAAAAAATAATTTTTTTAATCTATTTTCTTTTTGATATTACGTTGTTTCTTTTTTTATAACACAGGTTGAATCAATTAACAATAATTAAAAGAGTTTACGTTGTTGATTATGCATCACCTCATAAAATATTATTTATTATAAAAAATAATTTTTTTAATCTTGTTTCTTTTTGATATTTTATTCTACACAGGTTGAACCTCGTAAAATATTATTTATTATAAAAAATAATTTTTTTAATCTATTTTCTTTTTGATATTATTTCTTTTTTTATAACACAGGCTGAATCAATTAACAATAATTAAAAGAGTTTTTGTATATAATTTTATGTTAGATTTTTAGCAAGAGAAGATATAAATATGATACTAAATCTGGATTCAGTACTCGTTTACTCTAAATACTAAATAACGTTACATGCTCATGTCTTTTTTTTTTTTTTTTCAAGATTCATATGGAAAGTCTTCCCACTATCTTCATACCCTGTAACATATTAAAAATTGTTGATCGGCGAAAGATAGTATTGTACTTGTGTTTTCAAATTATAATACATGATCTAATTATTATTTTTTTGAGAAAATATTAGGATTTTATTTTACATAGTGTAATCCATGCTTTGAGTATACATCAATCTCTAAGTAAATAGCCTTATTATTTGTATCCAACCTTGACATATTTCTTGCCTTGTTTACATTAATTTTTACTCTAATGGTAAATTTATATTGGGATAATTTAAATATTTTATTTTCAATGAATTTGTATTTTTAATTTTTTTATTTTTTAAAAGTGATATATAAAATATGACCACAACGTCCTTTCTTGCATTTGTAATGGTCGAAGCGTGATTTTTAACATGATCAACACGTGGCTCTGAGTCAACCATTAAAAAATCCAATATGAATTCACAAAACCCAATCCTAGTTACTCCATTAAACAAATATTAGAGCGGTACTCGGGTACCGTTGCAGAAGTACGTTCACGCGCGAGAGATGATTAGCAAGTCTGGGAAGGCGCTCGCCGCGTGTTTTTAATTTTTAATTTTTTAAATAACTATGTATTTTTTTTTAATTTTTTTACAAGATGACGTTAAAAACAAACTCTTAATAATAAATAATATTTAAAAAAAGGGTGAAAAAGAGGATCTTGCAAAACCACGACTTTTTGGAGCAGTGGAACCATGGGCTATCATCAACGACCAAGGTTCCTGGTTGGTAGTTGCAATTTCCAGGTTGTCCGAGTAGGGGATCGACCAATACGTGGTGGCAAGTGATTGGCCTGACAATTAGTTGTTCCACGTCATTTTTCTCTTCGCAGATTTAAAAATTGAGTTTTTTTATTAAAAGAATTATCTTTGTGCCAAATTCTAGAGGAACCGCTCTGTCATCGATTGGATTAAAACATCATTACTTGATAAACGTTAAAGCAAGTAAACAAAAGTAATTATTCAACAACCAATTGGTAATTAACAAAAACAAACACTACGAGGGATGAGTTTAGTTATCCCTTCTTCTCTTTTAAGTCGCTTGGTTTTGATTCAATCTGATCCCTTGATTTTTTTTTCTTTGACAATCAACCTTTTTTCTTTTTTAATTTATCCATGTGCATTGACTTTTTTTACTTATGATTTGACTCTTTAGCTTGTTTTATTTGCCTGCATGGAGGATTATCATTTTGTATGTATATGCTTGTGTATATATTGCTTCAAACTACCCTTATAATTTCTCAATGATGTAATGATATTTTTTATATGGGAATTTTTTAATTTTTTCTATTTGATTATGTCATTTATTATTATTATTATTATTATTAAGTACAACTTCTCATTTTTTACTAATTAAATATTTCTATTAAAATTTGTAAAACACATGTTAACGTGGTTGTTAAATTGGCATGTCAGCATGTACACCAAATATATATATATATAAAAACACCACACTTTGTGTTCTAGTGTTTGTCCTTTTATTATTAATATTTGAGTGTATCTTATTTATTTTTATATTTATATGTCCATACTTTCAAAAAACATTTCATGCTATTATATTTGCATCACCATTTTAACTTATAATTTTATTTAACTTGATCAAATATGATTGATAAAAGATTTTGAAGGGGATATAAATTAGCTTTTCAAACTAAAAGCACTCAATTGATAAATTTTTAAAACTACTAACACTTGAATACAAAAAATAAAATATACATACACTTAAATAGAAAATAAATAAAAATAAAGTTAAAGTTAAATAAAGGCACATATTGTTCTTACTTTTTTGTTCTCGTTCATGGAAAAGAGTATTAGCTTAGTCAAATGGGAAATTTTTTTGGAAATGAATGAATAATCAACACACGGAGAGCCATGGGACTAGTGAATTAGATCAGTAACGAGAGCAATGCTTGAACCTTGGTCGAGTGGTGGATTGGAAATATACTATCAAGCCAGCTTGTTTATGCTATTTTTTTAAAACAAATTGATTTTTTTGTTATACTTTTAGATTTATTTTATTTTAATGTGTTGATATTAAAATAAATTTAAAAAATAAAAAAATTATTTTGATATACTTTTAAATAATTATTATTATTATAATATCAAACACTATAAGTATTGATTGTACTTGTTTTTATGATTTGTTATTTTACTTTAAGATTTTATTTTTCCTCAATACTTTGCAATGTATCTCTGGCTTTAATATTACTAGGGGAGTTTGCTTTCTTACGATTATAATGCTTTTTATGCTTGATATATAGTTAATAAAATCCACTGATGACAGTTTCATCTCTTCAAAGATTCAAATGAGGAACTTTTTAATGATACATTGCAGGTTAGCATAAGCTAATATAATTTTATGTAGGTTTTAAATTTTAAAAAAAAATTATGTAAAAAAGTGTATTATATATAATATAAGTTATATTCTAAGACTTTTACTCGAGTAGATATATTAAAAAATAATATAAAATATATTTTGAATTTATTAATTAAAAAATATTTAAAAATCTTATAAATTATTTATTTTTAATGTCGGAGATAACATATGTATAGCAATAAAGTAGAAATTAACAGCGACTGAACTAAAAAAAATGTCAGTATATCACTCAAGGAGGTATGAAGTTGGTGCAAGGCTATGATCGAACATGACAGTCATCATAGCATTTGCAAAACTACTACTTTTTTTTTGCTTTTGACATGCTCTATGTTGGGATATTGCCATTAATGGGCAACAACTTTGCAGACTACCCTAAAAAATAGGGTTGTCATTGTTAAAAGGCTACAATAGTAGTTACACCAACCATTGATAAAATGGTGCAACTTATGTGTTGCCACTATTTGTGCTATGATTTATGACCTCTTGTTTGCCATGAATTGCCTATAAATAGAGTCATTATTATTTGAGATCAAAATGAGAGAGAGTGTTGAGAGTGAAAAGAGAAAGAGAGGGCTGTTATAACAGCAGCCTTGCTGCCATGTGCAGCAATGTTTGTGAGCTGAGAGTTGAGTTAGAGTGGATATAATCCTCATCCTCTATGTATTTGTTTTGTTTTCTTTCTCTATTTCTAATAATATTGACTCTCTTGTGGATGTAAGTGATTTTTCGAACCATGTTAAATATTGTATCAATGTACTTAGCCTCCTATGAGCAAATATCAGTACATCACTAACCTAGATTTCTCAACAATTGGTATCAAAGCACATGGTTTAAAATGGTGTTTGATTTTGCTTAAAAGTAAAAGTTGTCAAAATTGTGTTTTGATTATATCACTGTGTAGAGAAGGAAAAGACAAAGCCACTAGTAAAAACCACGTCAAAATCAGATGTCAAAATCATCCTCATACACCGTCAAGCATCGACGGGGTGGCTGGTCACGCGCACAGATGCACGCCACGCGTCGCACACACCTTCTTCACCGGGATGGGCTGACCTGACTCACGTGGCTGACCCGGATAGAGGATGATGTCATCACAGTGTAATCATAGCATCAGCATGCACAGTTGTCATGCCATGTCAGCGCCTAGTTAGCTGACACGTCAGCGTAGTGGGACCCACCCACCACGTCATCAGCCACGCTGAGCCGAGTTGAGCAGAGGTGAGTTAGAGCTGAGCCGCGAGTCGAGGGATAGGATTCTGTGTAGCAGAGTTTGCGTGAAACCAGATCTGAGATTGAATCTGGGCCGTTTATCAGGTCAAAATTGTTTTGATCAAATCTTAGCCGTTTGAAATGCGATTTGAACTATTTCAGACTTGTTTTCAGCTAATTTAATCGTTTCAAATTGTTTGAACTATTTCAGACTTGTTTTCAGCTAATTTGATCGTTTCAAATGTAATGGTACGGTCTGATCATTGAGATTTGTGACCAAAAGTGGTGGTGGTGAATGAGAGATTGCCCGATAAGGAGGCATCTGAAGGTCATCATGGTGGTAGATGGAGATGAAAAAGTAGAAATCGCACATGTTTACCCAATTATATATGTTGAATTGCTATATGGGGAAGTTTGTATTGCCTTGAAGGAAGGAAAAATTTAGACACTCTAGACACTTGATCATGTGGACGATTTGAGGTGGAGAGTGAAATTTGATAAAGACCAATCTTGACAAATCTAAGTACTGATAGTCTCACCAGATGTTGAGAAATTAGGTATGAAACCAAAATATTCCAAATCACTTATAAAGGAAAGTCACGACAAAGCTAGCAAATGATTGTATATATGAAAAGACAGTATGATGGATAGATATGACCTGATAAGTTCTGGCTAGAAGATTGGGTTTTAAGCGGGACCAGTGTGACTCCTTCAATCTTTCCTGGTAACTTACTTAATTGAAGGATTATCCATACGGTACTATTTTCATATATGTAACAGTTTGTAATGAAACTGTTGAAGACTAACAGGATGATGGTACAAAAGAAATAGTTAGGTTCTGTATGTTCGAAGATCTGATGGAGTGGTGATTTCTCTAAAGAAGTTAGATTCGGTGACTGTGATTTCTCGAGGGGAAAATTGATAAAGACCCTGAAAATAAAAGAGAAATACAGCAAGAGGATAAAGATTGACACCATATTTCGACTTGGATAGGTGTTGTGACAGGATGAGCTGCTATCAAACATAAAAACAAGGAATAACGAGAAATGTGGAGAACAAAAATTGCATGAGGACACACAGAGATTTTACAGAAGTACCTGTAGGATTCAATGAGGTACTGTAATGAGACAATAGGTGCAAGAAGAAGAAAAGTTCCCAAATGAAGCTCACAGCAGAGACTATATAGAAGTTGTATAACAGGAAGTCTCTTGTGCTCTTGATAAAGGCAATAAGTGAAGACCTTTCAAATACATGCAAGGATAGAAAGATGAGTTGTTGCAGAAGCACCTAATTAAAAGGGTGCGACCGTCAATGATGAAAGCGAAGACACCAAAAGAGAGTTGGTGTAGGTGGAGCTGTCAAGCAAAAAGGCGTAGAAGCTCCAAACATAAAAATCAAGGTGGAGGATTGCAAGGAGTGTACTAAAACTCTCTCATTCTATGTGTTCAGTGGCAATGATCTCTTCCATAGTCCACATATGGTAGAGAATTTTTGAAGCCACTTTGAACCGTCCAAGCTGAAGGAGGACGCGACTGCCTATAAAAGGCGAAGACACCTTAGATAGAAGGTGTGAGGGCTATGAGATGAGCCCAAGATCAGACTACCGCATGACAATAAGTGGAGACACCTCAGGAGAAGGTGTGAGGGCCATGATAGGAGCTCTAGTTCAGAACGCCCTAGAGCTAATGTAATGACTGGATACGAGTATACAGGTGTATAAATAGCCAATAGAGTGACTATGATAAGTATGAAGACAAATACAGGATCGACTTTCATGGATATTATCCCCATGCTAAAGATCAATGAGCTAGAAGACATTTACCTTGGATAATAAGTAGATGACTTGTGAAGCATTAAGACGCGACTGGTAGGAATGAGCAGAAGGCATGCGCAAGTTCTTGGAACAAGTTGACTCTTGTTAAGGTGGTGAGCTCAGTAATGACATTGTAATATTCAGAGTATGAAGACAAATACGGATCAACCTTTGATGGGTTGCCCCTATGGTTAAAGGTGGAGAGCTACTTGGACTCTTGGTCTAAGAGTGAGAAACTCATAGAGAAGTAAGGTGTGGTTCCTAGAATGGAACAGAGGGTAGACGCAACTCCGGGATAAGTAGACTCTTGGAAGAGTGGTGAGCTTGTGATCACATTGAAATACTCAATGACTATCGCACTTGAAAATAGAAATTTCTGTTTGAGGGGGTGTTGTAAGCCTTGATGTGAGGCTTGATAAATCATTCTGGACCGAGCATGATTGATACGCTTGAAAGGAATGTTATGTCCTAGAGACAAACGTTAACATTCTTCAAATGTGAAGTGGGAGGCCATCTGGTTGAAGTGATACTTTGGTGTGAGCAAAGGTGTGCTTTGGCAACTCTAGTGATTGAAAGGTTTGACGAGTACCTGTAAACTTGGCCACAGACATTCTTGAAATGGTAAGCTTAGAAGAGCTGCAAGATGTAAGCTTGTGTTAAAGAAGCCAGAGGACAATTGCCCCTATAAATATCAAAGGGGGTGTTTGTTGGGATATTGCCATTAATAGGCAACAACTTTGCAGCCTACCCTAAAAAGTAGGGTTGTCATTGTCAAAAGGCTACAATGGTAGTTGCACAAACTATTGATAAAATGTTGCAACCCATGTGTTGCCACCATTAGTGCTACCATTTGTGCCATGATTTATAGTCTCTTGTCTGCCATGAATTGCCTATAAATAGAGGCATTAGTTGAGAGCAAAATGAAAGAGAGTGTTGAGAGTGAAGAGAAAAGAAGAAGAGAGAAAGAGAGGGCTGTCATGGGCAGCAACCCTGCTGCAATATGCAGCAGTGTTTGTGAGCTAGGAGTTAAGTTAGAGTTGATATGATCTTCCCTCTCTATGTATTTGTTTTGTATTCTTTCTTTATCTCTAATAATATTGACTCTCCCGTAAATATAGACGATTTGCCGAACCACATTAAATATTATATCAGTATACTTAGCCTTTTATTAACAAATATCAGTATATTATCGGTCTGAATTCCCCAACACTCTATAGTCTATACTCAATTTCACTAATGAAAATCCAATGCTACAGATGTAATTACATTATAGCATATCTAGTGATTTTGGTCAAATGATGGCTGCATATTTCTTATTATCTTCCTCGATAACTCTCTAAGAGTCATTGATCCGTAAAAGAGATTAATGACTGGTAATCATGCTAACATGAAAATAAAAGGATTCCTAGCAAAATCTCTCACCATTACATAAGTCTAATTTTTGTCCACTCAAAACGAAAGGTGAATCAGAAACCGGCCATGCACTAGAACAAGTCTCTGCTGCTGCTGAATGAACTTCCTAGGTTTGGTTTGGAAACCAGATAGAGGGTTATTTTGATTGTGCGACTCTGAGAGAAGCCAAGCACATCCTTACACTCCTCAAGATCAGCATCACAAGTCAAAAGAATTGACTCATGATCACTGTCCAAATACTTGAGACCAATCCTGCTGAAATCATCAATTTCAAAACGCTTTGCAATCTCTCGTTGCAAGTCCCTGAAACCCCAATTTGGTTGCAAGCTGAAACGGATATTTTCACCTCCAAAAGTGGCTTTAATTCTGAAGGCACCTCCATCTCGTAAACACTGGCCATTACTAATTGGTAGGGACGCTTGAGTCTCCAGATTTTTATTCTGGCATGATGTTTCATTGCTTTTGGCTCTATCAAGTTCCTCCTTATTCAAGGAGGGCAATTCTGACTTACTGCGTGTTCTCTTCAGCACCTCGACAGGGTCTTCTACAGCTAAAGCATGTCCAGTGCTCAAGCCATTGATGGTGCTGGTAAGCTGCCTTTTGCCGTGACAGATGAACAAACCAGAATTCTGACTACTCGACGAGGACTGGGATTTTGAAACAGGGCCTTTAGTGCTGAACAAGTGATTTATAGGTTTTGGGTTTGATTCCTTTGGGTAGTCAGTTATCTGGAATGATGAAAAAGGATTATGCCCAAAATATCCAGAGGAGCTCAATTCTGGGAAGGCGGTATAAAAGGAATCAATTTCAATGAGTCCTTGAGGTCCCATGACAGAGTCAACTACATGTTGGAGTTTTTTCAAGGAGTGGTTAACCTTCTTGATTTTTCGAGAAGGCCAACGGCTGATACCATATTGCCTGCACATCCTTTTCAGAGTGGTGGGGCAAACTGCAATTGAAACGAACTGTGTAAGCACTTGTATATTCACTAGGCTAGGGCGAAACAAACTGGGCAAGCACTTATTGGTCTGCCAGGCCAAAGTGCCTCCTCCAGAAATTAGCCTTAAATTCACAAAAAAAAAAAAAACCAGAAAAGAAAATGAGATCCAATTGTAATGGCATATTTTCGTACCACCAATACTTTTAGCAGCATCTTTAAGGCTCCCGGCAAAGTATTTTCGAAGAACTTGCAAGCTTATTGTCTTCTCTGTCTTGGTCTGTCTCTTCTTGCCTGTTTTTCTGCTGCCTAATAAGTGACTCCAAGGAACAAAAGAATCTCTGGCACTTTCAACAGTACAGCGTTCAGGGTTTTGTTGAAGCTGCCCAAAATCTGAAAATTCCCGCTCTTGGTACTGGTCTAAATCATTGTTATCCGAGTCGGTTGTCTCTTGGAGAGTCTCTTCTTCCTCAGGTTCTTGTTTCGGACACTCCCATGATTCACAGAATTCCAGGACGAATTCACCGCTTTCAAGTTGAGAACCTTCAGAATGTACTGGAGATGTGATGGTCTCAACAATTTGTTCCTCGGTTTCAGGATAAACTACAGGTGGGTTTTCAAGTGAGATGTCTGTTTCTTCTTGGCAGGTCAGATGGTGTGGGTTTATACTCAGATGACCAGACCCCATAAAAGGCAAATATTGTGAAGGGTCACACAGATCCTTAGAGATGGAAGGTTCAGGATCCAAAAAGTTGACTCCACCAGCGCTCTCCCACCAATATCTTTGGACCAAGAGTTCGTCTGTGAAATTCAAGTCCATGAAAGTGTCTGAGGTGGTCCTGAATATTGAATTTGTCCTGATGGCACCATGGTCCATACCGATCTTGATTAAAACTTGTATTTAGTACAACCTATGAAACCCAAATTGCAAAAAATTGTCACGAGCCAGAACACCATGGAACAGTAAAGATGAAAATTAAAAAGAGGGACTTCCAGGAATAATTGTTATTGCTTCTATCCAAGAATCCGATAGGATCAAGCCGCAGAACCATGGCTTCAACTAAAATTGCCTTGTCAACTGCAATCACAGATCGATCAGAGGCAGAAACCTAACATAGTTCTACGGCAAACTAACACAGAGGGACAATAAGTAAACTAATTTGATCATAAATACATGGCATCGATGTTTTTATTGAGTCTTGCAGGATTTCATAAGCCGAAAAGAAGAGAATGGACACAGAGAACATAATACACAGAGCAGTTGGTCATATAAACCAAGAAGTGAAAGAGGTTGAGCAAGTACCTCACTTTATGAAGATCCTCGATACCTAGTTTCTTTATGCAGTAAACCAAAGCCAAGAATGATGTTGTAAAGGAAAGTTGGGGACTTTTCTCTGGATAAGATCCCTTGACAGATTCTGAATATGAGAGTTTATTCTCCTCTAGTTGTGACACACTTCTAGTTATAACAATCCCCGAGACTAGTTGTGCGCGCGCTTTATCGACACAGCCATCCTAAATTCAACCGTGTAAATATAACCATCAAGGTTAAAAAGTTATGCAAGTAAAGGGAAAAAAGACCGCTATTTCTACAGCATGAACATTTTCAAATATCAGTGAAAGCGAAAACTTTGGATGTTAAAAGATTATTGACTACGTTATATTGTTTCTCTTTGCCCTCTTACAAGATTCCTTGCTGCACTGTCCACCTCTATTTTAACATATATTCCACTAATCAAAAGCAATTTGCCTCAGCTATTTCAACTTGTTTTAGGCATTATACCTGGTTTTTCAGTAAAACTTCCATGATAGCTATATTTAATTTGACTTTTTCTATAGAATTAGTTCAATGGCTTTTTCGGTCCATGCAGAATCTTTGAGAAATCATCCTTTTCTTCTTCTGCAATGTCCCTTCGCTTCATCAAGTCGCCACATCTTAACCCATAAGATAATCCAAGTGGAATCCTCATGTTTTACGACTTTGAGATTCCAAAGAGGATAAGGAGAGGGAAAGGTGAATTCTTCTTCTTGGGTGGTGCGTCCAGAATGCTGATTGCTTGCGAAAACTGACATGGCCTACATGTGTGCTTTCAAGGAAATACTAAAAATAATATCCTTTTAAAAAAATCGAAGAAAGACCAAAACCATTCATCAAGATGAACCATTGGTTTAGCAACCCCAATGATTTGATGGCGAGTCAGCATCAACATCATAATATATGTGAATATTTAGCTGTGGTAAATAACCTACTCCAGCTGCATTTCTTATGCAGACTTTTTTTTATTAAAATGGTAGATTCAATGATTCTTGAACAATATCTTATGCTATTGGAAATTGATTACATATATTTTTTAAGGGTTTTGATTAGTCATCCAAATGGACTAAAAAGCTAATTAATACGAACAGGATGAACGAATAACGGTTACGTGCTAGCCATAATCAGACACATTCTTTATATTATATGCTCTTTTCCAGCTTAATTAAACCAATAAGTTATGTCTGTTTGTTGGTGTAAAGCATGGTAAGTGGCGATTAGTATCTGCATAATGATGTCAGATTAGGATTTCACTACGGTGCTTTCCACAAAAAGCTCTTGTGAAGCTCAATAATTATTCTTTTCTAATAAGGCTGACCACCCACTTGCACTTGAACAGTATATATATATTTACCGTATGCATACAGATCATCAGCCAATGGTTTCTATTCTCTAACGTGGGCTCATTGTCAGATACAAACTGTCACTTGGATCTTGTCAGTATTCAATACTAGCTAGATCTAACTCAACATGGTAAGCTTCTGTTTGAGTCCTAGAAAATAAAAATAAAAATTGCACCTCTAATGGTGAAGGTAAGAGTGGCAGTTGTGGTCATCAGATTTCGTTCATCGGAGCAATTGTGCTGGTGTATAGCAGGATTTGTGTTCTTAAAGAGGCAAGACTGATAAAATGTCGTACTATTTTCTTGTTTATGTGCAGACCACATACAATCCAAAACTATCAAATGTCTCCTGGCCAGATTTCTTGCAACTAATGGGTAAATGGTGTGTGTGGGGAGCAACATACTGTCCAGGTCCAGCCATGCTAACTAGAGAAATAATAGTCACTCAGTGGTAAACTATCAATTTTAAAATGCATGAGCACAATTGGAATTTTACTTCAATTCACACTTTCAGGAACTTGCTCCCTGTGAAACTAAATGGGCTGCAAAGGAAAAGGGAAAAAAAAGACATGACCAAAGGTAGGGCCAATTCCCTTCATGATTGTGGTAGTTAGACTACTTTTCATGCCACTAAATGATGATATTACATAAGCAGAAGTACTTTTCTCATTTAAGAAGCACAATTTATTGCAGCAGAAAATTCACTATCATAGATGGAGGATGACTCAATCACTGACATGAAGAGCTGCAGTTTCTTGCAATTTGTCTTCTTTTACCTAAAAGCGTAATCTAGTAAACATATTGGTCATGAAGTACTCAATCAGTACATGAAGTACTTTCGTTTCTCATTTAAGAAGTAAAATTTCTTGCAGTACAAAATTCAGTATCATAGATGGAGGATGAATCAATCAGTGTCATGAAGTACTGTAGTTTCCTGCGATTTGTCTTCTTTTACCTTAAAGCGTAATCTAGTCAACAAATTGGTCACTGAGTGTTTGACAATCAGATTGTAATCACCTTTGAAATAGTGAAGCTTCTGCAAATCCTTTACTATCTGCTATGACTTTCAGAGTTCTAGTCTTCCACTCCGCGATCAGCTTATCAACAAGATTCCCTGATGGAGTATTCTTAAATCTTTATCTGCCAGGGTTATAGCACTGAAACCAGCTACCTCTGGACCAGCAAAAATGATAATACCTTGAACAGCAGGATGAGAATAACCTTCCCTTAGTATGCTCTCAAAGTATTGTGCCTGTCAATGAACGAATGTAATAATCTTTACAGTTAAAAATGGCTGGTCCAATCAAAGAATAGGACCCAAGGAAGAAACTTTATAGATAGTCTATCTATCAGTATATTTGGAATTGTAATTTTCATTTCATGCAGAATGGATAATTAATGAAGTTCAGATATTTAGTTGAAAAACTATGCCATACCTGATAAGGGCCTTTTTGGACATCGACTTCTGTAAGCCATATAGGCAATGCTGTTGATCCTAGAATGTCCAACGCAGATCTCATGTAAACAAGGTTTGGATATCCAGAAATAAAATGGCCTTGTATTCCTATTCCTAACGAGATACCTTTGATTCCAGGATACGACAGAATCTCTTCAATTTTCTTTACAGAGTTTACTGGACTTGCATGTATCTCTTTACTGTATTCAATGGTATTAAATTCATTCAAGAACTTTTTTGTCTTTGGATCAAGTTGGTAAGCTCTCAAGTAATATTCTGACGAAGCATTTTTTCCAAGCTTGTCCTCGTAGAAACTGAAATGCATGTTCTCATTCATAACATCCCACGCAATCAGTTTCCCCGAGTATCTTCGAACGACTGAATCCGTTCTTCTTGTTGCTGCTATTCTTAGTTCACTGGGAGAAAGATTTTTGACCCATTGAGGCTGCATCTTGGGGCTATCCCATAAGATGTTGTGACCTCTTACAGCAATTCCATTCTTTTCAGCAAAGCTTAGCATGGCATCTGCGATTGTATAGTTTTCATGATCTCGTTCCTTCTCGGTGCTGTACCACTTCATTTCATTGGTGAATGTACTGAACTTGAATCTTGAAGCAAACCACTTCTGGTAAGCGTTGCTTATGAGGATATAATGATTCATACCGCATCCAAATGGGAAGCTCGACGTGGTTTGCTTGATAGAGACTGCAGCACCACCCAGAGCAGTTCCATTGGCTTAAGTTACCGGAAACCTCACCTTGCTTTTGCGCACCTGCAGAGTCCAAATTTGAACTGGAATATTATAGATGCAGTTAACTGCATGCCATTATAGATTTTTAGACAGTACAGAAATGATTGATTAATTAATATTAACGTGCCTTCTGAGAAACAAACTACAGTATTCCAATTAGACAAAGGGAAACTGATCTCAGATCATTCATGTTAGATAAAGGCAGTTAAATAAAATGCAAGTCTCAAAAGTAGTCAATTCTTCGTTTCATTTACCTCCTCAATGCTTTTATCCCGGTGAGATCTCCATTGCTGCGTTGTAAACGGCTGGAACGAGACATTGTCTATCCATACCTCCACTCTTGTATTGTTGCACTATATTGATGAAAGAGAAGCATTCGTTTAGTACTGTAGTTCCAAAAGGATTCGGTAGATGGCACCTCTAATACTCCTGCATGCCTCTGCTTAAGAATCTCAAACCAAATCGGAGCAAAGTTCGATGATATTTAATGAGAAATTGACATAGGTAAGATGTAATAAGCACATTACCACGAAGAAAATCTCAACTGGGCCGGAAAGATGTGCAACCATGCCACCTTTTAGCAAAGACCAACATCCATGCTTAGCTACAACACTGCCACCGCGTATCCATTCGCCATGAGTGGTTTTAAAAATTACATCCACAGTCTCACTTCCTTCACTGATTTGGACCCAAGCTGAAAAGTTCATTTCAGTCAAATTTCTTAGGACTGAAACTATGGTGACTTGTAATATGTACAGAAATTCGGTAAAATTTGACAGGTTGAGGAAAGAGATGTACCAGAAGTAGAATTTCAAGGAATGACTCAAGAAATATGTGAGTTGTTATGGATCAAGAATGTCCGAAGGATTTAGAGATCAAATATACGGATCCTATTAATTTGTACTGTGATAATAAAACCGCAATTCAAATTGCACACAATCTTATTCAGCATAATAGAACTAAACATGTCAAAATAGATCATCATTTTATCAAAGAGAAGCTAGATCAAAAATAATATGTTTCCTATTTGTTAGCTTTGCAAATCAACTAGCTGATGTCCTCACCAAGGCAATATCAAACAAGGATTTTTATCATGTGATTGGCAAGTTGGGCACGATGTCTATGCACCAACTTAAGGGGGAGTGTTAGCTGGCAAGACATGTTTGGATCTAGGAAATCTGTTTGTTTCCTTGTACAAATTATTGTCCGATTTAGAATAAGATTCTAAGTAGAATAGGTTTCCTTGCTGCCCTGTACATATAGCTGCTGAACAAGATGAATAAAACAAGTTGCAGAGAATATTTTACAGAACTGAAATTCCTTATTGTATGTCTGCCGAAATCAACAGAAACAGAACAAAATGAAACGTTAATTTCTATAAATGTGTTCCAGGAGCATGCTTACATGATCATTTGTAGACAGAAAGCTAATTTCCGGGGTAAAAAACCTTCCTATTAGCTGCTAAAGGCTTGATTGCGTGTTCTCTTTGTTGCATAGTTGGCATTCCTTCCTCTTTCATTCATGCATATGCAACACAAGTCGGATCCAGGTAAAACCTGCAAAATAATTTCTCTTTAAGACTCTTCTAACATTCTAAATTTCTAATTTGAAACCCAACATATACAATACAGATGATCGTTCCTTTTTTTCTTAGTCCCTATTTTTGGATACCTCCTGCCCTTTC